CCCATCATGACGGGCGCCTCCACACAATCAGGACCCCCACTCCTACCTGACCCCCCCCTGACCACACCTACCCAAACCGATCAACCTCCCGCCCCCCCACTTGCCCCTGTGTCTCCCTCCTTGTTCCTCCTCCTTTTACTTGTCTTTTCCTCATTCTCCCTTTCCTCCCGTTCTTGTTCCTCCTCCTCCTTCCTTTTCTCCTTCCTCTCCCTTCCTCCCTCCTCCTCCTCCTCTTCCTCTCTCCCCCATATCTCTTACCCCCCCCACTCGCTTTGTCTCGGGCGAGGCGATCAGTAAACCTTCTTAACACACGGGTCTATGTAACCTCACGGACATAGAACCGACTGGAATTTCCCTCCTTCCCTCCCCCCCCCTCCTTCTCTTACTCTTTCTTCTTCCTCGTCCCCCTCCTCCTCCTCCTCCTCCTCCGTCCTCGCTCCTCCTCCTCCCCTCCTCCCATCCCTCCATCTCCATTCTCCCCTCCTGCCTCATCTCTTCCTCCTCCTCCATCTCCCTCCTTCCCCCCTCCCTCCTCCTCCTCCTACCTCCTCCTCCTCCCGCTCCCCCTCCTCTTCCACCATCCCCCTCCTCCCCCTCCCTCACTCCCTCCTCCTCCTCATCTTCCTCCATCCCCCTCCTCCATCCCCCCTCCCTCCCTCCTTCCCTCCTTCCAGGCCCCACAAGAGGAGACGTTTCTGCCCACAATGTGCTAATGACTTGCACTTGATTTAAAACTGGCCTGGGGGAGGGGGTTGGCGGCGCCCTGGAAATTCCGCGCGGAGGAGGGGGAGGGGGGGGGGGGAGGGGGGGCGCTCGGCCGGAACGGGGGAGGGGGGGGGACTGCCACCGAATTTTATGCTAGGGATAACATGCTTGCTTTTAGGTGTATATATGTGCATATGTATGTATGTATGTATGTATACAGACACAGACACACCACACACACACACACACACACACACACACACACACACACACACACACAAACACACCACAATGCACACAAACACAAGCAGGAGAGAGAGAGGAGGGATAGGGTAGAATGAGATATAAAGTAACAATTATGATAGATATTAAAGTAATAATGAGATAAGTATAGTTGGCAGAGGAGAGAGAGGAGAGAGAAGGAGAGTAGAGAGGAGTAATAGAAGTAAAAAACAGGTAACAACAATTCTAAAACGAGAGCAGCAGAATATACCGAAATACCAAAGAACAATATCGATTAACATAACCGCCAACGTGGAACCACTCACAGAGAAAGCAGAAGATAGACAAGAGAGAAAGGAACATACGAGCATGCTAAAAATACTAAGTATATAATAAATTATACGAATATACTATCTCTGCTGAAACCTGTCATCCAGCAAAAAACTAGAGAGCAAACTGATAGTAAACCGCCCAAACAAAAACATTGAACACAACACCCACATCAAGCTACTTTTGATTTGTGAATGCGTTATAAAGGTGCCGCCGCCTCCTATTCCATACCCTTGTGTAGGCTAATACACTCTCATATTATTACTACGAGCAGATTTATTTATAATTGGCAAGGTGTGCTATCGAGTCAATATTCTTGTACTATGATCTTCACGTGAATATCTTTTGTAATATCAAACTGTCATATTAAATGGAATTGAGGAGTTGATCATTCCTGGATTGCGCGGAACAAAAGCTATCGCCTACCCACATACGGAGTCAAGACTATATATCGACCTTTTTCATGTTGCAGTTCGTTGAGAGTCTCCGGTGTACGTCCGCCGTCGTCGATCGTTCGCGTGAAGCGAGGTCTCTCGGGCTGCCTAACAGAGCCGAGTTCCGAGGCCCCTTCCTGCCTGTCCCCCGGGCCTGATCCTCTTGCTCAGCCCCTGGGTTGCATGGCAACCCAAGGTGAGCCAAAAAGTTGTCGAGAGAAGGTTAATTATTTTTATGTTGTTGTGTTGGCTCTACGGGAGTGTTCGTATCTCCGTTAGTTTACTATTGTCGGGGACTTGCGAGTTGAGTCTCATCTACTCTCTTCTCATACAAGCTGTTGTTATCTGTCTCATGTCTTATTCTGCGCCAGTTATTTATTCATGTCATATGCATATCTTCATTGTAGTTTTTCTGTGTCGTCTTACCTTTTTCCTCGTGTATTTTTGCTTTTGTTTTCGGGTGTTGTTCTCATGTCTGTCTATCATATCTTGTCTTGTCTACTTTGGTATTTCGTTGCTACTGCGTCTCTTGTTGTGGTTCGTGCTTTATGTGACTCAGACCTTCAATGAAGTCCTTTTCTGCCGGAATACAGATTTGGCTTCTTATCTTCCTTTCCTATTCCTCATGTCCAGTCTGTCGTCTGAGTATCATCTGTCTACTATTCTCTCTCTCCCTTCTCTCTCTCATCTTCTTCTCTCTATCTTCTATCTATCTTAACATATTCTTGCGAACGTACTCTCATCTAGACTACTCATCGTACTCTCTATCGTCCTCTGTCTGTCTGTCTGTTCTGTTGGTCTCTGTCTTTGTCTCTTCTCTCTCTCTCTCTCATATATTCCTATTTCATGGCCCTCCTAGTGGTTTATTATTACCTCTTTTTCTTCCTTGTTCTCTTTCCCTGTTAAATCCGCGTGCGCCTCCCTTTTCCTACTGACACACAGTCGCTGCATTCGTCAGTGGATTCTTTCTCTCTCCCTCTCCACTCCTCATGCGTACGTCTTTTTCTGCAGCAAACTTTATCGTCTTCAAAGGTCAACATCTTTCTAATATTGGTTCTTTTTCTATTTTTTCCAGATGGTGTTTTGCGGAGAAGAGGCCAAAATATTACCAGATCGACAAAGAAGGTTAATAGGAAGATAATAGAATAGTTACAGTGTTGCCAGAATCTGTCGAGGGTAAGGCATCTTACACCTCTCTCTATTTTTTTTTTCTTTTCCTTTTTAGGATTATATATATTTTGAGATATTTTTTCTACCTGCACATGTTCCCAATTATGTTCTTCTTTTAGCACCAAAAGATGCTTTTTTGGGAAATATATATTGTATTTTGCAGATATATTTTTCGTATCTTACATGTCATCCCAACTTTTTGAATTCATCTTTGTAAAAGTCTATTTCTTATAAATCCAATATTTACTGAACAGAAATGACGCGCTTACCTGACTGATCTTAATCATTCCCTATTCACAAATGCCCTCCTCTTTCCCCAAAGGTTCTCCTATTTCATTCCTCCCCTCAACACTCCTATAAGCACTCTCTAGGTATTTTCCTCTTTTTAGATTCTCCACTTCACACCTCCACTCATAAGCATTCAGGATTCCCCTTTCCAACTTTCCTCCCCTTCATCACTTACAGTACACACATTCTCCTCCTAATATCTCCCTCATGCTAATATCTCTCCGACATCTCTCTCCTCCCTTATCTCCATCCCATTCCCTCTCAACATCATTCTCTCTTTCTCCCATCTCCCCCATCCTCTCTCACACTCTATACCCTCACATGCATCTCCTAGCGTATTCCAACTAACATCTCCTTCACACCTTCCCTTCCCTACAAGCATTCCAGGATCTCCCAAATCCTCCCTTCCCACCCCACGTCCATAATCTACAGCTCTTCACACTCTTCATTCTCCAAGCATTCCTTCCAAAATTCTCCCCCCTTTCCACAACTCTACAAGCATTCCAGGATTCCCCATAATCTCTCCTTCACACTCTACAAGCATTTCCAGGCTCCATTCAAAAAATCTCCCTTCCCCACTCTACAAGCATGTCCAGATTCCCAAATCTCCCTTCACACCCTCTAAAGCATTCAGGATTCCCAAAATCTCCCTTCACACTACACAGCATTCCAGGATTCCCAAAATCTCCCTTCACACTCTACAAGCATTCCAGGATTCCCAAAATCTCCCCTTCTCCACTTTACAAGATTTCACACTCTACAAGCAAGGATTCCCAAAATCTCCCTTCACACTCTACAAGCATTCCAGAATTCCTAAATTATCACTTCACAAACATTCCAGGATTACCTAATCCTCCCTTCACACTCAACAAGCAGTCCAGGATTACAGAAGTCATTAAGGATTCGTGATTATATAAATGATGTGTGACCAACCCCCCCCCCCACCCCCCTGTCTCCTGCCATTAAGGATTTCACGCCCACATGCGAAGGATTCTGAGTATTTCACACTTTCACCAACGTTTAATTTCCGTGACGAATGGGGGAGCCTTGGAGGTAATGGGAGTGTGGGGGGGGAGGGAATGAGGGTTGGGGGGGTTATGATGGGGGTGGGTTGGAGGGTAAGGGGGGGGGATGGTTGGGGTAAGGGGAAGGGTTGGTTGGAGGGGGTAAGGGGGTTGGGGGAGGGGGTTGGTTGGAGGTTAGAGGGGTGGGTGGAATGGGGTTGATAGGAATGGGGTTATGGGTATAGAGAATTGTAGGGAGGGTCCAGGAGGGGGTTGGTAGGGGTCGGGGGGAGAGTAGGAGGGGGGGGGTATGGGGGGGCAGTAGTAAATCTCGCACAGGAAAAGTTTGAATTGGGACAACCTTCAGGAAAAATAAAAAGTTTTTTTTTTTTTTTTATAGGATTAAACACAACTTCGCTTTGTCGTTAAAGTTAAGGAGTTTGAATATCTAAGTTTTCCTTTGTTTTGCGGAGTCAGTGCCTGTAATTTCGGTTGATTTTTTTCCCCAGCTTACTTATTTTGTAGAAAAAAAAGTTAAACCCGTGAATCATTACAGAATAAACTTTTTATATATTTAGTAAATTCTGTAATTATTTCATCATCAAAATATTACTAAGAATGTAAATTATCCGTTAGTTATCTAGTGAAAGAGATGCAGTCTATATCACTGCAATCTAACATGCTGATGTACTTGAGTAAAATGATAAAATATATATTTTGATTACTCACTACCAGGCAAATTCCTTAAGCAAATATTGATACACGAAGAAAATATAAAGAAAATGAAAGGGTATTCACTACATTTCCAGGAACAACTCAGGCCACAGGATGGAAATAATATACAATGAAATATGTTTCGTTTTATTTCACAATTCCCCGAAAATTATGCAATACTGACCAACAATGAACACGGTACAAAAATCATTCCCACACAGACTAGTATGCACGTATAATTCTCGTATCTTTACTGCTCAATTACACTAATTAATTCACGTTACCATTAAAAATTTAGCAGGTTTATAAGGCACTGTTTGATCAATAATGAAAGAACAGTAGTTTTGATGATGGCATTCAAACGAAAAAAGACTTTTTACCATTGAAGTTCGAATAAATGAGGAATGCATTAAAACTGTAATCCCAATCTCTGAAAAATAAACCATTCTGCTTAAGCCTAAAAATAAAGGTGATACATCTGTCAATAGAGCAAGGCACTGCAGTTGCATGAAAGAATATGGGTATCAGCAGATGTGTCTTCCTCCATCTGAAGTTCCGACGCTCGAGGTCGCATTCGCTGCCGCCTTTGCTGACTCGAAGCCCTGGGGTCGCTGCTCCTCGGCGGAAACCCGGAGCTCGCGGTTCTGCTTCGCGGAAACCCCGAAGCCTAGTATTCACTTCCCTCCTCGCTGTCCAGGATCAGACTCTCGATGTCCAGGACGTCGACGTGGCCCTTGCCCCGCCCCTGCGTCTGCGTCCTCCGCAGCCTGGAGCCCAGCATGGCCACGGACGACCCGTGCGCCTGCCCCTCCTGCTGCGCGGCGGCGGCGGCGCTGGTGTGCGAGCGCGGCCGCCCTCCCGCCTGCTCCTGCTGACCGCCGCCGTTGTCCGCGAAGGAGGACACCGAGCGGATCCTGCTGGCGTCGGAGGCGGCGCTCGTGCTGTGGCTCCTGAGGGCGGCGGCCAGGCTCTCGTGGCTCGGCTGCAGCCTGGGCACGGCCTTGAGCTTGCCCACCGTCTTGCCATACTTGCCGAACGCCTGCAGGGACTCGTCGGAGGCGGCCGACACGGACACGTCCTTCAGGAACTTGGCCAGCTGGCCGCCGTCGTCCTGCGCCCAGGTCCTGGCGGCGGGGTCGCCGGGCAGCGCGCTCAGGTTCCACGAGCGCGTGATGGCCTCGATCTCCGTCTGGCAGCTGGCGATGTCCGTGAAGGCGTCCAGGTTGAAGGACGTCTCGAAGGGCGAGTCCTGCGCGCTCTCCGCCTCCGCCAGCCTGTCGTCGGCCGCCCCCGCCCCGGCGAAGGGCTCCCGCTCGCCGCTCTCCGCCTGGTCCAGCAGCTCCTGCACCTTCTTCTGCAGCGGCTGCAGGATGACGTCCAGCTCGGTCTTGGGCGTGGAGCTCTTCACCTTCCCCTGCAGGAAGCCCTCCGCCAGCCAGTCCCGCCCGCGGTCAGGGAACGGCTGCGGCGAGAGAACATAACGGCTTTTAGCACCACAAGAACACCACATGAACACCACACGCGGCAATAACATCCTATTCCACTCCCGAATCCACACCACACCTCCGCCCGCCCGCCCGCCTCGACTCACCTGCTCCTCCTCGTCGGCGTCGTCATCACCGTCGCCGTGGCTGTCCCGGGACTCCTCCTCGTCGTCCTCGTCGTCCTCGTCCTCGTCCAGCTCGGCCACGCGCTCCGTCACGATCCCCAGGGACTCGGCCAGGTTGTCGAGGCCGCCCAGGATCTGGTTGATCTGCAGCTCCAACTCTGCCATGTAGAAGTCCTGGGGGCAGAGAGAGAGAAAGTGATGAGTGAGTGAGAGAGAGAGAGAGAGAGAGAGAGAGAGAGAGAGAGAGAGAGAGAGAGAGAGAGAGAGAGAGAGAGAGAGAGAGAGAGAGAGAGAGAGAGAGAGAGAGAGAGAGAGAGAGACAGAGACAAAAATGACAGTAAAATAAAATATAAAAAACTACCCCATTACACAACAAAAACCTCCCTCCAAGATCCTCCTCCCCCATTTCCTCCCACAAAGACAACCACCACAAGCAACTCTTCCTTACCGGGGGCGTGTTATCCTTCGGTTCATCCACCACCTCCTCTTTTCTCTGAATGAACCGCAGGAAGGACTGAAATCTTTCCTTCGCATAAACCTTGATGTCCCTCCACGCGACGTCCACGCTGAAATGAGATAGAAATACACGCTGAAATGACATAAAAATACACGCTGAAATGAGATGAAGTACGTACTGAAATAAGGTGAAATGCACGCTAAGATGAAATAAAAATCATTTTATTTTAAAATTATGAAACAAAATAAAACACACGGTGAAATAAAATAATATACACGGTGAAATAAACTAATATACACGGTGAAATAAAATAAAATACATTGATATCAAATAAAGATAAATGTATGCTGATATTAAATAAATAAAAAAAAAACACGGGATTTACATGACCAATCTCCATTTACTCATTTCAAACCTCAGTACCGTAGTAAGCTGATCTGGTTTACGGAAACCTCAATAATTATATTTTGTGGGACTCAATTATATTTTTGGTGGTTTTAATTATATCATTTTGTGAGACTTCATCATATCTATTTTGTAGGACTTAATATTATTTTATGGGACTTAATTTTATTTTGTGGGACTTAATTACATTCCGTGGGACTTAAGTACATTTTTCGGGACTTAATCATATTTGTGAGACTTAACTACATTTCGTGCGACTTAAATACATTTTGTGGGACTTAATTACACTCCATGGACTTCATTACACTTTCAGAGACTTAATTACACTTCGTGGGAATTACATTTCACGGGACTTCATTGCACTTTCTGAGACTCAATTACATTTCGTGGGACTTAATTACACTTTCTGAGACTTAATTACACTTTGAGACTTAATTACACTTTGACTTAATTACACTTTGAGACTTAATTACACTTTGAGACTTAATTACACTTTCTGAGACTTAATTACACTTTCTGAGACTTAATTACACACTCAGAGACTTAATAACATTCCGTGGGACTTAATTACACGGGGACTTACCCTGGTATCGCCACGTAGGACTTCATGGCGTGGATGAAAGCCGCCTTGTACAGCGCCTTCGTCAGCTGGTACAGAAGGACGTACGTGAGCAGGTAGTAGAGGTAACCCAGGCTTGTGATGTAGCCGTTCGTCTTGCTTTCCAGGTCTGTTTTGTTCGGAAAATCGAAAAAGATATGATTAAAATACGGAAAATTAATGTTCAGATGCGAAAATGTTCTCAAATATGATTAAATACGCGAATGGTCTTAGAATATGAGAGTATATGTTAAATATTAAAGAAAATAATTGTTATAATACGTAAAAAAATATGTTAAAATAATACGTGTGCGTGTGCGTGTTTGTCTATGTATGTATGAGAGGTTGTATATGTGTATATATATGTCTGTGTGTATATATGTGTATGAGTATATATATGTGTATGTGTATATATATATGCCTGTGTGTATATATGCGTATGAGTATGTATATGCGTGCTTGTGTCTCCGCGTGTATCCCCTGAACCGAGTCCCCCCCCCCCTGCACTCACTCGGGATGAAGGGCACGTGGGTCAGGATGATCCTGACGAGGCTGAGGAAGGCCTCGAGGACCGTGTGAAACTCCCACAGCAGCGAACTGAACCACAAGTAGCCCAGGAGCATACAGCATACCAACAGCCCCAGCAGCATCACCCTACGTGGAGAGAAGACAGAAAAATAAATAAATATATACAAATCACACACCAACGGCCATCAAGTCATTAGATAAGTAAAAAAAAAAACATATATATATATACAAATCACACGCAAACTACAGTCACGTAAATAAAAAGATATATAAATATAAATAAATCACACACGCAAACTACCATCACGTAATTAGATAAGTAAAAAATATATAAAATATAAACAAATCACACACCACCTACTACCACGCCATTATAATCATAAACAAATTAAATTCCTCACAATTCAAAGACACCAAAAAGCCTTTCTCACTCACGTCACGACCAGCACGTCCTTGGCAGCCCCGTTGAGGACGTGGCCGAGGCGTCGGAACACGGACAGGTACCTCATCATCCTCATACACCTGATCATGTGGACGAGGAGCATCCCCCCGACCAGGGACTCCAAGATCTGCAACATAAGAATGAGAGTCAACATAAAGGGAGGACCGTGTGGGTGTGTTGGGAGGTATGTTGTAAGGAGAAAATGGAATATGTTGGGGTTTCTGTGCTTTTAAAATAAAATATATGAATTGCTAATAATAGACATGAGGAACGTTTATCTCCTTAATAAATAAAAATAGTTGAATGCTTAATGAAATTCATAATAAAAAGAAAAAAGTATGTGAACGCTCAATGAACTTATTCCAAAAACACATAAATAGATCCTATGTTTGTGAATGAAAACAGAAACTCGTCGATCACTCACGTTGTCCCATGTCGTGAGGCTTTTGAGACTGACATACTTCTGAAAGTAAGCCACTCTCAACTGCCACATGATGTACTCGGCTATGTGGACGCGCAGCATGAGGGACACGACGTAACTCCAGCTCAAGATCGTCATCAGTATGTCCAAAAATCCCCAAAAGGATTTCCAGACCCTGCCAATCGGGAAGAAAACGTCTTAATATCAGTTCTATAATCGAGCTACAAAATGATTACAGATTTTATGAAAAACAAAGACGTTCCTTTTTTATCAACAAAGGTCCTTCCCAAACGTACTTCAGGCGGCACTTGTAGACGTAGATTGTGGTGCGGTACAGGTAGTGCATGGAGACGGCCACCAGGACGACCTCGGCCATGATGCACACGAGCGACCAGGTCCCTCGGTAGCGCTCCACGGCGGTCGACGACACTCGCACCGTCACCTTGAAAGCGGACGCTGGTGTTCATTGTCTACTATTGATTGCTCTCAAAAATGGACATTATGTTTATTGGCTATCGATTGTCTTTCAACGAGGGATTCGAATGAGTATGGTGATCCCACGAGTGATTAACTGAAGTGATGACCTGAATTTCTGTTTTACGTTGGAGGGTTTTCCTTACCTGGGCGCCGGACAGGGACGGGAATTCGGCCAGCAGGTTGATGGCCGTGTACAGGTCCGTCTGCGGGTGATACAAGGTCATCTCTGTGACGACGGCGCGCGTCGCCTGCTCGTTGATCCAGTGCGACGCCTCCAGCAGGATCAGCAGGAAGACTGCGAACGCGGGCGAGCTCGGGAGGTCCTGCTGGTGCTCCGTGTAGCTGTACTGACTGAACTTCCCGTAGTTGACGGCGAGGAAGTGCGCGTCCCACTGGTACTCCTTGTTCTGGTTGGAGCCGAAGCTGAACACGTGCGACACGTTGTCCACGTACTCCGGGAAGCAGGACTGGACGTGCAGCAGGTCGGCCAGCGAGCGGTTGGACGTCACCAGGTACTTGGCCGCCTCGCACTCCTCGGGGTTGATGTCGTACTTGCGGATGCGCGGCCGCCCGATCAGCACGCTGCTCGAGTCGCAGAAGACGCCGAACTGCGAGAAGGCGCGGTCGGCGTTGTAGGCGAGGGCGATCAGCTCCGACGACGCCCACTTCCACCAGTCCTCCTTCGTCACGATCGAGCGGAAGCGCATGTAGTCCTCGTTCTCCGTCAGGTTGCACGCCTCGCCGTAGGGGGCGTGGCAGCTGCCCTGGTACTTCTCGCGGTCCAGGCAGCTCCCGTTCTCCAGCGCGGTCAGCGTCGAGGCGTTCAGCATGTACCGCTCCGACACGTTCGAGTTGCTGGCGATCACCAGCAGCAGCGCCAGCATGAGCACCAGGCCCAGCACGCTCTGGAAGAGGCTCGAGACCTTGTCCCGCTGCGCCTCCTTCTCCCGGCAGCGCAGGAGGTAGTCCTCGCCGGGCGGGTGGGCGAAGCGCAGGTCCCGCGTTCGCTGCCGCTCCTCCAGCACTGCGGGGAAGGGAAAGGACGGATACATAAACAAACAGCGCCACGTCTGTTGCATGCAAGGCAATTCTGTTCGTCAATCGATAGTCAATAAAGTTACTTCACCCTTCTCTCAGGCTTTAAAATCTCAACCCTCTACACTTTTCTATAAAAAAAACAGTAGCATATAAGCATATACAACTCTGGGAAATAAAAAAAACAAGCTATACCCCTCAGGCCAGACAACGCGCCCTCCAACCCACACAATATAAAAACAACTTACGCTTCTCGTTACTCATATCCTCGCTCCGCTCCTTGTATCCGCGCAGAACGGTCTGGTAGCGGTTCCAGATGGCCACGACCTGGTCCAAGGGCACGGTCACGCAGTCGCTGATGCACCCCCTGCACCCGAGCCACCGGTACATGCACACCTGTCAAAATAGAGGGGCCATAAGCTCCACACTGATCCACTCCGGTATCCAAATATACGTTTTCACGACCCAATGCGATATCCACACACAGATGTACAAGCAATTCTCCTGCCAAATTGCACAAGACTTAAGTGCTCTGCCCAAGGGGTCCTCTCGTGTACCTTGTATAAAGTGTATATGACCACGACCAGAGGCTGCATGACGAACATCGAAAAGCACAAGGTCATGTAGATAATGTGAAGCCACACGGCGCAGTAGTCCATTGGCATTCTCGAGCCTCTGACGACGAGGACCATGCAGCACATCGCTGGAAATAAGAACGGAGTCAGCTGATAATTTCTTTCTCTCACTCTGTCTCTGTCTGTCTGTCTGTCTCTCTCATTGTTATATGGAGTCATAATGACCAATACTTGAAAGATTCCGGCGACTCACCGGCGAAGAAGCAGCAGACGATCCAACCGACGCACTGAGAGAAGATGAAGGTCAGGCTGGACGCCGCCCGCCCCTCGCCGCCCTCGCCCTCGTCGTCCTCGTCCTCGTCCTCGTCCGCCTCCCAGCCGGCCTCGTCCTCCTGCCGCGCCCGGCCTTGCACCTGGCCCTCCGCCCCTCGAGCAGGATCCGCACGAGGCAGGCGAAGGCGCGCCGCAGCTCCGCCAGGAACTCGAAGATGGTGGGCGAGCACTTCTTGGCGGCGTCGCGGCCGCCGCCCGCGGGCAGGGGCCGCGCCTTGCCCTCGGCGCACCGGGCGGCGGGTCGGCGGGCCCCAGCGCCTCCTCCGGCGGGCCCTCGCTCGGAGCGGCGTTGGGCGTCCGCGAGCGCTGCGTCACGTGCATGCCGTCCATGTCCTTGTCCTGCAGCAGGCTCAGGTGGGCGTTGGTGAGCTCCACCGTCTGCGCCCACCTGGCCAGGGCGGTCCACGTGCTCGAGTTGGGGTTGTACAGCTCGCTCTCCTCGTCGCTGAGCCCGGCGTCGCTCTCGCCGTCGCCGTCGCCGTCGCCCCTCGGGGGGGGCGCCGCCCCGCTCTCCCGCGTCGCCCGCAGCGTGTCCAGCACCGACTTGTTGTTGTACTCCTTCTCCTCCTGGACAAAGCATAAAAAAAAATAAATAAATAAATAAAATAAATAGACTCATGTCAGCATGTTTTATAACCAAGAGGTTTTTTCCTTCTGTCCTAACCTACAGATTAACGTAGAAACAAACAAACAAGCAAACAAAAACAAAAAAACAAATAATAATACATAAATAATAAAAATACCCGAACCAAATCTCCCTAACACCAATTCCCACCACCCCCAACACTCTCACCCTCCCCATCAACCCACAAAATTCACAAACAAACCAAACATAAACCCAACTCCGCCCCCAACACCCCCAACACCCCCCTCCCCCCAAAACCACCCCAAGAGCACCTCATTTTACTCACCAATCTGTTGCTCATCTTGAAGACCATTTCCAGCAGCCATTGCACGGGCAGGAGAGCCATGCGATGATGCAACCGTAGTACATGGGTTCGATGTGCATGTCAGGAACCATCATGGTGTGCTCGGTGTTGATCTCTTGGAGAGGGGGGAGGGGAGGGAAGGGGAGGGGGAAGGGGAGGAGGAGAGGAAATGGTGAGATTAATGAAGAAATGACACGAGGTTTATAAAGATGAGGAGATTATGTAGTTGTTTAGGTTAATGGAAAAATATATGTCACTGGATCTTTTTCTTTCTCTTTCTCTGCCTCTCTGTCTCTGTTTCTTTCTTTATTTCACTCTCTCTCTCTACCCCCCCCCTCTTTCTTCTTTCTCTCTCTCTCTCTCTCTCTCTCTCTCTCTCTCTCTCTCTCTCTCTCTCTCTCTCTCTCTCTCTCACTCACTCACTCACTCACTCACTCACTCATCACTCACTCACTCACTACTTACTTACTACTTACTACTACTTACTTACTACTTACTTACTTCACTCACTCACTCACTCACTCACTCACTCACTCACTCACTCACTCACTCACTCACTCACTCTCACTCTCTCCACTCACTCACTCTCTCTCTCTCACCCTCCCTCTCTATCCTTTTTCTTTCTCACTCACTCTCTCTCTCTCTTTCTCTTTTTCTTTCTCTCCCTCTCTCCCATCTTACCTGCACAACAGCCAGCGATATGGTGCCGAGACAGAGACACACGATCAGGCAGATGGTCAGCCGCTGCAGCCTGTAGAACTTGGCGGTGCTGGACGTGGTCAGCAGGGACGTCCAGAGCATGTGTTCGCTGGCGTACTGGGGCAGGAAGTGTTCGAAATCCTGCAGATGAAAAAAAGAAGGGAAATCGTTACGGAAATCACGCGGACAAATAAACAAGTTTTAGCTTCTGTCACTGTAGGACGAAGATCACGGAAAACCAACACCTAGATTGTGACAAAAACAAAACTAAAAAAAGTCTCTCTCTAAGGGTGACAAAAACATAAAAGAACAACAAAATCTCTAAGGATGCCAAACAAAAAACAAAACAAAAAAAAATCTCTCTCTGAGAATGACAGAACATAACAGAACAAAAACAAAAAAAAAATCTCTACGGTTGACAAAAACAAAAACAAAAATCTCTCTATCGATAACAAAAACATAACAGAAAAAGAAACACGCCGCCCTCACGCCCTCACGCCCCCTCACCTGGAAGAAGGTGGTCGGGCTCTCCAAGGTGATCTCTCGCTCCACCTTGGCATCCTCCGCCTGCACGGCCAGCCAGCGGTAGCACGGGTAGGCGTACCTCGCCCCCAGCACGAGGTCCACCACACTCGTCTCGCACACGTACCACCCGGCGCTTCTCCCTCCGCTGTTGTCATGCCACAGCTGCACCTTCAGGATGTCTCCCAGGGGCTCCGCTGTCCTGTGGGGGGGAGGGAAGGAAGGGGAGGGGGGTTAGGTTGTGGTTTATGATGAGGGGTGCGGGTGGGTGGGGTGGGTGGGTGGGTGGAATGATGATGGTCGGTTCTGAATGGGAAAGGATTGGCTGAGGTTTCCCTTGGTCTAATTTTTTCTCTTTCTGTCTGTCTGCCTTTCTCTTTCTTTTGGCTCTCTCTCACTCTCTCTCTATCTCACTCCTCTCTCTCTCTCTCTCTCTCTCTCTCTCTCTCTCTCTCTCTCTCTCTCTCTCTCTCTCTCTCTCTCTCTCTCTCTCTCTCTCCTCTCTCTCTCTCTCTCTCTCTCCTCCTCTCTCTCTCTCTCTCTCCTCTCGCCTCCCTCTCTTCTCTCTCTCCTCTCTCTCTCTCTCTCTCCTCCCTCCTTCCCTCTCTCTCTCTCCCTCCTTCTCTCTACTCTCCTGTCCCTCCCTCTTTCTATCCTCCTCCCTCCCTCCCTCCCTCCCTCCCTCCCTCCCTCCCTCCTCTCTCTCTCTCCCTGCGAAACTCACTGAGGATGAAGGTGCAGAGGGCCCCGCGCGTAAACAGCTGGCCGGTTTGTTTGGACTGCAGCTCCCTCGTCTCGCTCATGCCGTGGGTGCCGTGGACGATGGCGTAGACCTGAAGGAGGAGGGAAGGAAGGAAGGAAGGAGGGAGGGAGGGAGGGAGGGAGGGAGGGAGGGAGGGAGGGAGGGAGGAAGGGAGGGAGGGAGGAGGAGGAGGGAGGGAGGGAGGGAGGAAGGAAGGAAGGAAGGAAGAAAGGGAGGAAGGAAGGAAGGAAGGAGGAAGGAAGGAAGGAAGGAAGGAAAGAGGAAGAGAGGAAGGAAGGAGGTGAGGATTATTATCTTTTCCTTCTTTTTAATAAGAAATGTATTATTTCATTTGTTGTTCCTCCATCTCTGACGTTATAAAACACGTTCATCGAAGTAAAAAAAAAAAAAAAAGTAAAAACACTCTCCCAACGTCATCTATCGTGTCAAAAAAAAAGTGTTTACCTTTCTTTATCAAATGAAAAAAGAAGAAGAAGAAATGAAAACAAACAAAGAAATGAAAACCAAACAAAGAAATGAAAACAAAACAAAAGACAACCCACCTCCCCCCAACGTCGCCGATCGCCTCCAAGAAGTCCCCTCCAAATTACCTTCGACGTCGTGCCGGCGTTCCACTGCGTCCCCGTCTTGATGGTGAGCAGATACGCCCACTCGTGCCCCGGGTCGTTGTCCCTCAGCCAGATGTTCCTCCGCTTGAGCCGGTGCCGCTCGGACGTCTGGAGGCCGAGGGCGAGCACGAAGTACAAGACGAGGACCAACACGATGAAGTAGAGGGCCATGTACGTCTCGACCAGCATCAGGTCGTTGACGGCGACGGTGCTCTCCTTGCTCAGGATGGGGACCGTGTGCGCGCCGTAGATGCTGTGGGTCGTGTGGCAGCTGCGAGGAGAGGGGGGGAGGGGGGAGGGGGTGTTAGTGAGGGTGGATATAAGAGATGTCTTAGATGTCTGAGTTTTTTTGTTTTTTTTATTCTTTGGATATTATAGAAGTGAGGACATACCCTTCTGTAAGTATTCAGTCCCGTCCCGTCCTTTCCCTCCTCTTGTCTCCCTTTCCCTTTCCCTCCAACCCTCCCTCCTTTTCCCTACCCGTCTCCCTTTCCTCCCTACCTTTCCTCTCCCCACGCTCCCTCCTATCTCCCCTCCTCTCTTCCTCCTCCCTCCCTTTCCCTCTCCCTCTCTCCCTTTCCTTCCTTCCCATTCCCTCTTCCCCCTCTCCCTCTCTTCCTTCCCTCCCTCTCCCTCTCCTCTCCCTTCCTTCCCATCCCTCCCCTCCCCAACCCAGCAAATTTACCTGCACGTCGTGAGGTCCCACGTCGAGAGATTGCCCTCCACGGCGCAATCCTTATGCGACCACGCGGTGTTGTTCCAGCTGAGGCACTGAGACCACCACGCCGCCACCAGGAAGTCGGCGCCCTGGACCGACTCGTTGTGGTGCGACCTGCCGGAGGGGAAGGCGGGGTCAAAAGAAAGGGAAGGGGAAAATAAATAAGGGGAATAAAGGGGAATTTTTTAGGTGTTTCTCTGACTGGGGAAGCGAGGAGAATGGTTGGGTTTTCTGGTGAAGTTTTGGGTATGTCGTTTCATTTTTATTTTTTTTATTTTTTGGGTTCGTCTGCAACCACTGACATACATAAAGAGAAAATTCAAATAAATAATTAAACAAACAAACAAACAAACAAACAAACAAATAAACAAATAAATAAATAAATAAATAAATAAATAAATAATAATGATATATATATAAACAAATACAAAACAAATAAAACAAACAAACACAGACACACGACCCAAAACAAACACAACAAACATAAATAAACAATACATGTATCTTTTTTCCTCACCAGTTATGCTCGTAGCTGTTCTTGTCCATAATGATGAGCAGTTTGGGGCCCTTGGAGAGCTGGCCGGGCTCGAGGGAGAGCTGGACCTGGGACGGCTCGAGGGTCGCCTGGAGCTCCTCCTTGTAGAGGGGCTCCCGAAGGCTCTGCAGATTCTGGCTGTGGGGGGAGAGGGGGAGAGGGAGGGGGGTTAGTCAGGGGATTTGGGGGAGATATTTGGGAATGCATAGGTATACGTACATACATACGTACATATATACGTACATATATATATACACACACACTCTCTCTCTGTCTGTCTGTCTCTCTCATTTGTATGAATAATAATAAAATAAAAACGCAACCAGATAATAAATATCGAACTAGTATCAGACTCACTGGCAAGAACGTAAATCAAAGTGAATAAATTATATCAGATAAAAAAAAAAAATACACACAAAGACACAAGCAAAGCACTTACACACACACACACAGACACACAGACACACACACACACACACACACACACACACACACAAACACACACACACACACTAAAAAAAAAATAAAATAAAAAAAAGAATAAAAAAAACACTCCGGTGAATCTCCATTGCATTCTTGCAAAGCGGACTTTACACTCTGCATTGTCATGTACCTTTAACCCCCCAGATTCAGCCCTCAGCTCTTGCACAAAACCCGGGGGCGGCGCACTCCTCTCCCGCCCGCACGCCCACAAGCACTCACTTACTCACTTACTCAACTCACGCCCTTTTCGTGTGTCTCTCCCAAGCTCGTCCTCCTCGGGCGGTCATATCACTTACTCCGTCGCTGTATACTTTTCTGTCATACTACCCTCAACCTCATGGTTGTCCTGTCATGTCACTCCCTCGCTGTGATGTCACTCTCCCAGTCATGTCACTCTCCCTGTCCTGTCAGACCCTCATGTCACTCCCTCCGTCATGTCACTACCTTTCTGTCCTGTCACTCTCTCCCTGTCATGTCACTCTCTCCCTGTCATGTCACTCCCTTCCTGTCATGTCACTCTCTCCCTGTCATGTCACTCTCTCCCTGTCACGTCAGTCCCTTCCTATCACGTCACTCCCTTCCTGTCATGTCATTCCTGTCCTGTCATGTCACTCCATCGCAGTAAACTTTTCTTTCTCCCAGGGTGCGATTGACTTCCTCCAGGGTGTTGTTTAAGAGTGAAAAACCCATTTCAGTGACGTCAAGTGTCCCGTGTTGTACAGAGTAATGGCATGTCATTTATAGGGACTGGCATATTATTATTTTTTTTATGACACCTGGCTCTCGGTCCCCACACTTCTTGGCAATGGTGCATGATCACCAGTTCATACCTTGCAAATACAACTTAATGAACCTCTTCCTGTCTCGGACATATGGTTAAACGCAAGCCATAAACACTTTTTGAAATGTTTATCTCTCTCTCTCTCTCTCTCTCTCTCTGTCTATGTCTCTCTCTCTCTCTCTCTCTCTCTCTCTCTCTCTCTCTCTCTCTCTCTCTCTCTCTCTGTCTCTCTCTCTCTCTTTCTCTATTTCTCTCTTCTCTCTTTCTCTCTTTCTCTCTTTCTCTCTTTCTCTCTTTCTCTTTCTCTATTTCTCTATTTCTCTATCGTCCCTCTCTCTCTCTCTCTCTCTCTCTCTCTCTCTCTATTCTCTCGTCTCTCTCTCTCTCTTCTCTCTCTCTCTTCTTCTCTTTCTTCTCTCTCTCTGTCTCTCGTCTCATCTCTCTCTCTATCTCTCTCTCTCTCTCTCTCTCTCTCTCTCTCTTCTCTCCTCTCTCTCTTCTCTCTCCTCTCTCTCTCTCTCTCTCTCTCTCTCTCTCTCTCTCTCTCTCTCTCTCTCTCTCTTTCAAAGGTGGTATCATACATAAAAAAAGAAAAAAAGAAAAAGAAAAAAGAAAAAAAAGGTCACAGATTTCACTGCAGTCGTGGATAAAAGCACCTTTGAAAGCACACATCAGGAACGCACCGCAAGCACAGTGCCAAGCGTAGTATTACACCGTGAGATGAGAGGCACTGTGGTGATAGGGGGGGGGGGGGGGAGATGATTTTTTTTCCCAACCCTTCCCCTCTCCCTTTTTCTCTCCATTCTCTGTCTCTCCTTTTCTGTCAGCCGGTCGGGTTATCTGTCTCTCTACCTTTGTCCGTACGTCTGTTTGTCGCGATTTCACACGCCTGCGTACGTACACTCTTCTCACTCACTCACTCACACACACACACACACACATACATCACTACCTGTTTTCTCTTCCTTCCAATTTTTTAAGACCTTCTCCCTGGCGATGACACAATGAACACGAAATGAAGCCCTGAATTTTAACGAAAGACCACTATTCCTATCATTATCATATTATTATTATTGTTCTCTTCTCCTTCTTCTCCTCCTCCTCCTCCACCACCACCTTTCTTCTTCCTCCTCCCCTCGATGACGAAAGACGAAGACGATGATAACAACGACGACGGCGACGACGACGACTCGCGCCCAGCCTCCACACACCTGAAACTTTGCTCACCTAATACAGCGAACAAAGGTCCAAAGCAAGTCTCAGGTGGGGGAGGGAGGGCTGGACTGGGCTGGGGGGGCCTCCTCCTTCTTCAGGCGCTGGGGAGGAGGGAGGAGGGAAGAGGGAGGGAAGAGGGAGGAAGGAGGAGGGAGGGAGGAAGGGAGAGGGAGGGGAGGGTAGGAGGAGAGTGAAGGGGGTAGGGAGAGAGTGGGGGGGGTACGGAGACAGAGGGAGTGATAGGGGGATAGAGAGAGGGATAGGTGGATAGCGGGAGGGTAGGGAGAGAGAGAAAGGTAGGGTAGGAAAGAGAGAGAGCGGAAGGGGGGGTAGAGTAGGGGAGAAGGAGGGGTAGGGGAGGAAGGTAGGGGGAAAAGATTAAGAGTGGGGAGGAGGGGGATAGGGAGGGAAGGGAAGGGGGAGGAGGGAGGTCTCCACTGATGAAGTCGGTGTCATGTTCTGTAGAAGCAAAGATGGGAGGGGACTGGACCCGGTTTGGGTTAAGCTTCCCCCTCCCTTCCTTTTCTTCCCTTCGTCCTCCTTTTCCTTTTATTTTCTTTCCTTTTTTTATTTTTATCATTTCTCGTACTCTATCTCTCCTCTCTTCACTCATCTTCTCTCTTCTCTCTTCCTTTGTTTACTCTTCCTACTCCTACTCCTCTCTTCCTCTTCCTCTGCTATATAACCACAAGAAATAAAAAGGAGAAGAAAGAAGAAAAAAAAAAAAACAAGGAAACGAAGAAAAGAAGAAGGAAGAACGAAGAAAGAGAAGAAAAAAAAACAATAAGACGAGCATGTCTTCGTTGACCCAGACTTCCATCCAACCGCGGTCGGGAGAATACCAAGAGGATTTCTTCGTATCACACGGTCGGAAATCTCGTATTACATCCTGCATAATCGCCCTTAATCACACAAACCCCACATCCCTCAAAAAAAAAAAAAAAAAAAAAAAAAAATAATAAAATATAAAAAAATAAATAAAAAATCAAATAAAATATAATAAAATATATATATTAACATTCAGTATTTCCTGCCACTCAAAAATCTATGCTAAATCTCCCCTCTTTCTTAGTCTATCCAAATGATAGGTTCCGAACGATAGACCCAGCCCCCCCCCCCCCCAAAAAAAATGTCATCTGGGGAACTCGCTTACTTAAAGATATTTCTATTCTACACAAGAGTTGAAACTTCCTGCCGCCCCCCCCCCCCCCTTTTTTATTTTTTTTTTTGTCCTTTTTTCTCTTTTTTTTCTTTTCTTTATATGAGTTTTGATATGACTGTCATCTCGGTCTTGATTGACTGATGTGACTCATTGCCCCTCATTACGCTTTCTCATCTTACCGGAGATTGTCTTTCGTGTCTGTTCTCTTTCCTCTTTCTTATATTTCTTCTCTTTTCTCCCATCTTGCTTCTGTTTGCCTTCCTCTTCTCAATTATCCGCTGTCTCCATCTTCGATTTTTGATTATTTTCCACTTACTTCCCCCTTCCCTTCCCTCTTCCCCTTCCCCCCTCCCTCCCTCCCTCCCTTTCCTTCTCCCTCCCTTCCTTCCCCTCCCCTTCCTCCTTCCTCCCCTTCCCCTCCCTCCCCTCTCCTCCCTCCCTCCCTCCCTCCCTCCCTCCCTCCCTCCCTCCCTCCTACCTGGGCCTGGTCGTCCTCCTCCGTGCGTGTTTGCGTGCAGCTGCAGGTTGCTTCCTAACCCCCTGAAGCTTTGCTCAACGACTCCTAACACATGGCTGGGCAAGGTCCAGGAGGCTAGGCTGCAACCACTTTCTCTCTCTTCTTCTTCTTCTCCGCCGCTTCTTCCTTCTTCTTTTGGCCCTGCTTCGTAGCTTCCCTTCGTTTTTTCCTGTAAGTGTTTCGTCCCTCCTCTCTCCCTCTCGTTATCCCCCTCCCTCCTCCCTCTCTCTCTCTCTCTCTCTCTCTCTCTCTCTCTCTCTCTCTCTCTCTCTCTCTCTCTCTCTCTCTCTCTCTCTCTCTCTCTTCCCTCGACCGAAATCCTCGCGTCTCGCCACTTACCAGATGAGGACGACGGCGGCCACAGGGTAGTCCGTGTTGAGGACCCGCACCACCTGCAGGAGGACGTGGAAGGCGAGGGCGGCGTGCTCGTCCTTCACCTCGAACTCGTACGCGGTCAGGGACTGCGGCGAGAGGATGCCCGGGCGGCGGAAGTCGTACTCGACGTCCGTGGCCAGCTTGGAGCGGGGGAGCTTCACCTGGGGGAGAGGGGGAGGGGAGAGAGGTTTGAGTTTAAGGCTGAGGAGCTCTGATGCCGTTTGGGATGCGGGTGTGTCCAAAGGGGGAGGGAAACGAGGAGGTGAATCCTACCGTGACGGACTTCAGGATGTTCTTGTGGAGGTCGACGTTGACGACCTCGGACACGATGAGGTCGTCCTTGAAGTAGAAGGGCGAGCGCTTGTGCTCCAGGCTCTGCACCAGGTGGACGCCGCGGGGCAGGCTGCTCGTGTTGAAGGCGAAGAGCACGGAGTTGCTCCAGCGGTTGAGGTCGTCCGTCTCCGCCAGGTAGCCCGTGTACTTGAGCGTCGAGGACGAGTAGGAGAGGGGCTGCTCGTTCAGGAACCGCATCCTGATCTCGTTCTCCATCACCTTGAGCAGCAGCTCCACCAACTCGCTGCTGAGGAGGAGCGAGCTGCTGGCCCAGTCGTAGATCTCCGTCTGCTTGTCCAGCACCTCCGACGTCAGCACGAAGTACTCCTTGGCGGCCTGGGGGAAGGGGGGGGTAAGAAACGCGAGACTTCCTCTCCTTCTCTCTGTCCTCATCAAGCAACACCTCGAGCCCTGGCGCGGGCGCAGGACACTCACCTGCGTCCTGATCTCCGGGTTGTAGTTCCACCACATCCTGCGCTGGGCGGCGCGCATGGCCTCGATCACGCGCGTGAAGGTCTTGCTGGAGATGAACTCGTTGGCGTCGACGACCACCTCGAGCGCCGTCAGCACCTGCATCACCTCCATCTCGTCCCTGACGGGCAGGCTCGCCACCAGCTCCACCAGGTGGTCCCGCGCGCACGACTTGAGCAGGTTGACCTTGGACAGGATGCCGGCGCCGCCGCTGTTGGCCGCCGCCACCGACTCGTCGGTTGGGTCGGTCACGGTCTCCATGCTGTCCTTGCAGCGCGTCTGGTAGAACAGCAGCGCCACGATGTTGTCGAACACCGTCTGCGTCACCTGCGTGGTCTCCAGCAGGTTGAGCTCCCAGGCCAGCGAGCGCACCTCCTGCAGCAGCAGCGGCGGGCTCTCGTTCTCGAGGCGCGAGATCTCCTTGAACAGCGACAGCACGCCGTCGCCGCTCTCGGAGCGCGGCTTCACCTGCAGCCCGCCCGTCACCTCCTGGTACTTGGACGCCACGCCCTTGCCGTCCACCGCCTTCACCGACACGTAGATCTTGTTGTCGTTGGACTCGAGCCCCGACGGCAGCGTGAAGTCGAAGTTCCTGCGCGCGCCGTGGTAGAACAGCGTCTTGGTGCCGCCGTAGCGCAGGAAGTGGTAGCTCCACTGCACGTACAGCGGCTGGTACAGCGCCGACGCCGACTCGCACGTCGCCCAGAACCGCGCCGTGCCGCCGCCCCGCGCCCTCACGCGGCACGACTTCTGCGGGAGAACCAGGGCGCGCGTCAGGAGGATATGATAGCAGTCGTAGTAGTAATAATATCAAGAAGAAGAATTATAAACATGATAACAATAATAATCATTATTATTTACTGATGATAACAATAAAATTTATTATTATCCTGATTATAACAATAATAATAATAGTAATGATGATAACAATAATATAATAATGAATAATAAAATAATGAATAATAACAAAAACAATCAAAATAAGAATAATAAAAATATTCATAATTATAATTGTGATAATGATAATGATGATGACGATAACAATACTACTACTACTACTACTAATAATAATAATACAACACAACACAAAAACCAAAAAAGAAAGAAAAAAGAAAGAACCCTTAATCCCTCCCCTTCCCTTCCCCCCCCCCCCCCCCTTTCACCCCAACCCACACCCCCCAAAAAAAATCCCATCCTCTCACCAGCTCCGGCGGTTCCGAGAAGTCGATCAGCTGTTGCGCCGACCCGCTGTTGTTGGTCCTCGGGTTCTGGGTGAGGAGGCTGAGCTTGTACGACAGGTCAGTGTACAGCATGTTCATGTACACCACCAGCTCCGGCCCGCGAGTCCCTGTGGACGTCATCGTGGTGAACCAGACGACGTCGGTGAAGCGAACGTTCTCCAGCTTGTGGGTCGCGGGAGGTCGTCTCTGGAGGAGGAGGGGAGAGAGGAGAGGAGTGAGTGAGTGTGGGAGGGAAGGGGTGTGGGAGGGGAGAGGAGAGGGAGGGAGAGCGGAGGAGAGAGAGGGAGAGGGAGAGGGGGAGTGGGAGAGGGAGAGAGGTAGGAGAGGAGGAGGGGTGAGGAGAGGGAGGAGGGAGGAGAGAAGAGGGAGGGAGGGAGGGAGGAGAGGAAAGAGGGAGCGAGAGGAAAGAGAGAAGGAGGGAAGAGAGAAGGGGAGGAAAGGAGAGGAGAAGAGAGAGAGAGAGAAGAGAGAGAGAGAGAGAGAGACGAGAGAGAGAGAGAGAGATGAGAGAGAGAGAGAAGAGAAGAGAGAGAGAGAGAGAGAGCGAAGAGAGAGAGAGAGAAATAAAGCGATGCTCAAAATACATTCATTTCAATAGATTACAAATTGTATAAGCTATGGGGATGAAATAATTAACTTGCATCTATATAGTGTTATTTATTTACTAAGACAGAATTCTTTAATGAATATTAATAAAAAGTAACAACAATAAACACAGTTAATAAATATAATGATATATAAACACCCAATACAAAAAAAAGACTAATAATATCCCCCAAAATAAAAAAATAAAAATAAAAACACCAAAACCCCCCACCAAAAAAAAAAAAAAAAAAAAAAAAAACGGGAGCAGAGAAAGAGGGAGAGAAGAGAAGGAAGGAGGAGTGAGGAGAAGGAAG